AATTTCTTTCAAAATTAAACCGGTCCCCAAAGGGTTAACGATATTCCCTTAGAATTCTAGAAATTCTTATTTCTGAGTTTCAAGACAATTCTCTCCACAAGATGAGGAAGAGAATTGTCGTTATCTTCCTCGCTAAAGAATATAATAAGATAGACGTCTCCAAGTTCACACGTTGATATTCACCTTCTACCTTCAGCTTTGCAATTTCAGCAGCGACCGCTTCGAATGCAGATGTCGAATAGGCTTTGCCAATGTTGTTGGACACCATCTCATTAATTTTGCCAAGGAGATTTTCTAGTGTTTTTTCCTTTTCGACTACAGTTCCTTTATTGTTTACTGCCACGTATCGTCGTCCACATTTATCAAGCAATTTATTTAGAGGTTTAGAAGATCCAAGCTTGCTAAGCCAGTCTTCAATACTGAGGCCCTCCTCTTCAAATGCGTCAAGGTTAGTAAAAATGATAATGCAGTAGTCGATTGCTCTTTGTCCAAAAATTGTTGTAACATATTCAAAAGATTTCTCCTCCACCGCAGTAAAACGTTGAGCGATATTAAGTACAAAGAGAAAAGCATGCGGTCCAGATGCCACCATTTGACAAGCTTTTGCAATCTCATTTTGTATTTTTTCATCACCTATGTTTGGATCTAAAAAACCTGGAGTATCGACAACAACCAATTTTGTGCCTTTGAATTGACGATAACCGATCGCACAGGTTTGCGTAATGCTTCTTGCACTCGAAGCAGCTCGAAACATTTTCTCGCCCAAGAGAGTATTGCCAAATGAGCTCCTTCCTAAAATGGTAAGGTAGTGTTATGGTTCTTTGTCACTCATTGTTGCTACACTTCTTACCAGTGCCCGTCGGGCCGAGAAGAACCATACGGATCTCTTTAGTACTATTTGAAAAAAGGTCAGCTTGTGTCATTATTTTCAAAATTTTATCAATTGGAAACAGATCGAGCTGCAAGAAATCTGCTAACAATTATGTAAAAAAAAGATCAGGATAAGAAACAATTATGTTGACACTCACTGAGTCGGTTGAGACAAGCAATCTGCATATGCATGCAAATCACCATTGCGTTAACGTTGCACCTCACAACGCCTTCAAACACAAACGATAAGTTGTGAGATGTCGCATGACATCAGCATATTGTGTAAAGGCTTGTATATATTCGGGGCTCGAAAAGAATGAGTCATTTTTATTTTTGAGTTTTCTAATCCTAGTCGTATTAGTTCTTTCTGATATTTCTTACTAAAAAATGTGCTGTCAACATTTTACGAAATTGTATATTTTATTTAGTATGAAGCGCTTGTATCATTTTTCGAGAGTCCATAGAATCGCCACAACAAATAGTTGTAACTTTATGAACTCTCTTTTCGGACTGATTTTGTTGACAAATCATTTCGCTTCTGAAATGCACGTTAGTTTCATTTTAGCCGAAGTCAAATGCATGTCTTCATCTAAATCATTCAAATAGAAAAGTACAAAATGATTAAATCAAACCTCTTCACAGGTCAATAATCTTTGGGTATATGTTTTACTCCAGACATACTGGCCTAGGAATAACGAGTGGCAATCGCCTTTCCTAGAAAATTGTTGGAAGAACAATACAACTTTATTGTCCTATAAGATGATACTTTTTTTTTAACGATCGTCTCATCTACTTAGGGTAGTTTAAAAGTAGTGGCAGGGACACTCTAATACTGTATAGTAAGTTTGAGAAAACTTGAGGATGGATGAGGGTGGGTAGTAAGAGTTAGAGAATGGGTGGGAGTGAGAGTGAGGACGATTATCTTCTCTTCACCTTTACTCACCCTTACTGGAACCACCTCACCCTAACCATCATTCACCCATCTTTATCCTCATTCTCACCTACTCACCACCCTGATCCACAATCACTCAATCACCCTCACAACCTCATTCTCACCCACCCTAACCCTCAAGATAATGGTATCGGTCTGTATTTGCTTTGCATCACTATCATTCATTTCAGTATCAATACGGCAAATTTCTAATCTCATTCGAATACTAACAGCATTCCTCTTCTTTAGCGGACAATGACTGACAATTCGCGATAAGCTCATTATAGAACAATCGATCATTTCAATTAGAAGTGAATCAGTAAGGGTGGGGTGTGGGTGTGGGTGTGGGTGTGGGTGTGGGTGGGTGTGGGTAGGTGTGAGTGTGGGTGTGGGTGGGTGTGGGGTGGGGTGTGGGTGGGGTGTGGGTGTGGGTATGGGTGGGTGTGGGTGTGTGGGATGTGTGTAGGCGTGTGGGTGTGGGTGGGTGTGGGTGGGTGTGGGTTCGGGTATGGATGAAGAGAGGATTCACACCCACACCCACCCACACTCACACCCAAACAGTTGAGCTGAAGTATTGCCAGATCGTTCGGGTATGCCAGCATATATATTTCGATCCACATAGTCGCCAAGAACCCATTGTGTTATTGAATGTAATTCTTCATTTGATATATATATATATATATAAGATACCATTTGGCTCGTCTCAATACATACCCATTGGAGTATTTAATTGATAAGGATTGAGACCTGCACCATTACCACCCTGGTAGAAAAATTTTAGTCAAACAATAATTTGACAAACACTATGTTTGAATTATAGATCATGAAAAGAATCAAAAAGAAATAATGTTTCTAATAGATATGGTCATATTTAAGTGAATAATTCAGTATTTTTCTTAGAACAAGAATAATTTTTGTATGTGGATGATTCAAAATGAAATGTCTTACAGTTGACGATAAGTTTTTTTAGATAAAAAAAAATGAACTTCTGAATTCTTCTCGAGGAAAAAACGATGAAATAGCAGATAAAAATAATTATCTTAAGCTTTATCTTGCTCTGATATTGACAAGAAATCAAAATTTTTAAGAATAATCATTACTGTGGTCTCATTCAGCTCTTTTTATCGCTTGGTATTTCTCCAGCATGACACGAGCACTATTTTCTGGATATCTCCTTTAGATCATTAAAAGATCTCGCTTCAATTAGAAAAAAGTTCATGCCGCGGCTATAAGATTTAGACGTTATCAGAACAATAGTGTGTTTGTGCTTACGAAAGAAATTCTTTCCGCTATCTTCGAGTATGCATGTTTTGAAGAAAGTGTGTACTGAAACTGAACATATCAGCCAACAATAATCTCGTTCGAGGTTCATCTAACTATTGTCATGCTTCGTTACCTGAACCCAATCACCTTTTTGAATTTTCGAGTTTTATGTTAACTATAAGAAGCTGATTGATAGTTCAATATGTTGTGGATCTACAGTACTATAAGAAAATGAACATAGGTAACACGAATGTTATTTTCTATTCAACTATCGAATAACAAAATAAATATTTATTTCCATACCAGCATATCTGTCATGGTTATAAATAAAAAATGCCCGCTATCAATTGCAAATTGAGACTAAGGAATTTGAAGAGGAATTTCTCATCCTCGGCAATCTTCTATCCAGCATTAATTAAAATGAAGTTAGAATTCAGATTAACTAGTATACTGCTAGCTTCACAAGTCTTAGTCGAAATTGTCGATGGTTGATATCTTTGTTTTCAGTACATATCTAACGTAGAACACATATACATTAAGAAAATAATAATATGAAACAACTTGTGCCTATTTAGAGTGTCATGAGGTAATTTTCGATAAGAGAAAAAGTATATTCTTAGAAAAGGTATAGCTTTTCGTCAGAAAGAGTATAGAAGAGAAATTTTTCGATAAGTTGGTCGTTTCAGATTTCAAAAACTATGAAAACTGTGCACTGCTCTTGGGTTCTTCTGAAATTCCATTTGTTTTTTGCTGAAATCCCTAAAAGAAAACTTTTGTGAAATATTATTATATTTATTGATTTCTTGTCACAAAAAAATACAGCTGTTCGATCCATTTTCCCATCGTGTTTATCACGAAAAACCTTTTGAAAACTTGTTTCTTGCCAGAGTTTCCTGTCTCAATCATAGTACCAAGAGCTAAAAGTATAAAAGACTCTACTTTTTAGATTAACTGTGATTATAAAGAGACCAAGAAACATTGGCGCATATTGAACTCGATGATCTTAGAGACAATGGGACTTGGATGACTTTTCTTCAAATATTTTAAAAAGCAAGTACTACTCTTGTGGCTTCTTTCATTTGATTTGAAATTTAAAGATGATGATTCGATCGAGAAAATATGAAAAAAATAGGCAAACTCGAATATAGTAACTTGTTCCGCTCTGAAGAAAACTTTTTTTTTTGGAAAATCGCAAAGTCAGTGCTTTGACTGTATATCACTCTAAAAGTCGTTGACACGTCGAATTACGGTCATGCTGAGTTAAATAACAACTATGCTTTCCAAATTTTGAGACGCTATGCAGGTACTGGATCAAGATCTCAATGTATCATCTTCTACAATCGTAGAGATACGGGACTGATATTTAGAAATGCTCATTTAATATATTGAGCTTATTAGACTAATTTAAAAAATTGTAATGTTTGTGAAGAAGAGACATAGTTAACCTTCAAAACTGACGAGGTATATCAATGCTACGAAAATATTTGTTTTCATCTTCTCAAACTCGCAGTCATTAATCACTCCTCCCATACTGCAGAGTGGATCGGAAGTACAGTTTTCCATTTGATGCTCTTATGGTTTTTTTCAAGTTCGTTTTCTAATCCGATCATCTATTTTACTGTTACATATTTCTGATTTTCTTCCTCCGTTTTAGTTCTACAATGGAAATCAGATTAGAATATACACAATTAAATTGACGAAGAAGATTATCGACGACAGAATTATATTTTGATGTGTTTCTCAATTTCATTGTAATAAACTGGTTAACAGAACGAATACAAGGGAGAATAAACGTTGCGTTTGATTTTTTTGTTTAGTAGATTAATTTCATGACAAAAAATAAAATCAATATCAAAACAAAGTTAAATTTATCATTTCAACAACTTACAGCTATGATTGTGCCATTATTTGATTTCGGATCAAATGAGAACGGCCATCATGTTATACGTTGATTTTGAGTATCGGCTACTATTATATTTTTCTTAGAATCCACAGCTATGCTACTTGGATAACTGAATTGATTTAATGTTGACCCACTAGTACCAATTCCAGCTACTGTTCGTCCACTTTTTGCATTCTTTTTCCAATATTGAATTCGCTGATTACTCCAATCAGAAACATAGACATTTTCTTCTTCATCTGCAAAAATGTCCCGTGGACCGTCTAACTTGTCTGATGTTGATCCGTCCTTGCCATTTGGTTGACCAACAGCTGTTAATATTTGACCATTTGGATAATATTTTTGAACACGATTATTAAGTACGTCACCAATATATAAAATTTGTGTTTGATGTTCTATAAATAAACCCTCAGGAAACGATAGTTGATTAAGAGCTGAGCCAGCACCATTGCTGATGATAGTTGTTGCTGTTGAATTCCATTTAAGATTACCTGGACCTAGAAGTTCAAGTTCGAAACAGATGAAAACACTTGATTCGTGTTGAAAATTATCTCATCATCAATGGGAATAATACTCTCGTGCAAAGGTAGATCTATCACTTTACCTAATTTCGCCTATTGAACGCTGAGAATTCAGAATATTTTCAAAATGCAATGCTCTCTCGATCTTTGAAAAGCCAAGTTGAAAGAATGCTCGTGAGCTGGAAATACGTTAGAGGAAGATTGACGTAAAATTAGCATGATATATGCTACCAAAAAGTTTGACTCTAACCTGTTTATACTATCTATTTGCTTAAGTGTGAATTTCATCAATAATTTTGCTAGAATCATAGCATAATATAGTTAGTACTTCTAGAACATTAAAGATTTTGTTCTTGAAATAAGATTAAGTTTAATCTCGGCCATACAAGGTCGTTCCATTGCTTGTAAAATAAAAACACTCATCCAAGATATTTATGATATTGCTGTAGTTGGAAAAGAAAAGATACAATAACTAAAAATTTATAGGAAAATTCCGTCTAAATTTTATTCAAAATGTTTTAAAATCTGTTTCTAGTTTAATTCGTTGCACTATGCAATCTTCATTATGATGATATGAGAAAAAGTGTCGTGATATACTATCAGCTATACAGCGACACCATGATGTAGCAATTTGTTTTTGTTCTTACATTCGTCTGATGTTTTATAAACAGCTTGACCTATAAATAAAACAGCTAAAAATCGAATTTTCGAATTCTTGTTATGCACTTGTCATTATTTGTAACAACGAACCTAAAATCAAAATAAAACATGCATTCAGTAATTCTCACAGGGACATCGAAATTGAATTTTTTTGCTAGATTATAAGGCTAATTTTGAATCCTTGAGCCGCAGCAAAAAGAAAGAAAATGAGATTCTACTTGAGATAAATGAAAATAAAAATTAAAAACACATTCTCATTTTTGAAAGAAAATCCTTTTAATTCATTCACATAGAAGAACAAGATTATCTACTTGAGCAGTTAAATTTTCATGCTTTAGTTCAACTTTGTCTCTGATACTCACGCAAATAACCATATTAAACATTATAATGACATTTTCGCTTGATAAAGTTTTTCTGAGTGACAAAGAAATGATAAACGTTTTTCGTTACTCACACGTTTTCAAGATTATTTCTTTCTGTTCTTGTAAGGGAGTATCATTTATCTTTGATATTGTTCTGAGAGCAAACAATTGAGACACAAAGAAATAGGGTGTGGGTGTTGGGTGTGTCGTGTGGGTGGATATTGGGGGGGGGGGGAATGTGGATGGATGTGGGTGGTTGTGGGTATAAAGCTGTAAGGTGTGGCTGTGGGTGTGGGATATGGGTGTAGGTGTGGATGTGAATGAAGTCAGTATCCAAACCCACACTCATGTCTTACACCCACCCATACCCACACCTGACATCCACATCCAATCCTTCATCCGAATTTTATTTTTATATCAACCTTAAGATACTGCAAACGTGTAACAAAACCAATTGTTACACCTGCATACTTCACTTTGAAGTATAATGATGCTATAACATCATCGGCAAGTAAAGCTTTGATTTTATTACTATTTATGAAAAGTATGTTATTTTACTGTGTGTTTAGTTAATATACTAATGGTCATTTCAGCCTGTCTTTCCAGTTCGACAACGCTTACCGTATTTCGTATTTGAGAGGATCTCGAATACCATCTAATCACTTACTCTGTCTCAAGTAGAAGAAAGAATGGAAGAGAAAAGTATAAAACGAGCATCAATATTGTGACGCAATGATCTCGAGAGGTAAAAATCCGAAAATAGTCATTGAAACGCGAGATCCCAGTATGAGATCGAATCGATAATATCTTTTGAGTTCATCTCCAAAACACCTTCGGATTTTTCACAAATTGCTTCCAAAAATGACAAATTTTTTGAGAACTTTGGTTTTTTATGTGAAGAGAAAAGTTAGGCACTATTGTCTTTCTTCATATGTCAAGCAGTTGTAATCACAGCTGATTGTAGATAATGGATCACATAGATAATTAAACGATCAATCGAAATCGTCCTTCAGAAAAGTGTTCCTAGACTTTCATAGAGTTCTCGTGGCGATGAATTTTATAATAGTACTCTTCAATTTTCTCACAACTTATATCAACTGACTCGTGAAAAAGTAATTTTTCGAATTCAAATGATGTAGAGAAGTGTCTATGTTCAGTAGTATGCACAAAATTCAACTTGAAATGATGATTACTATTAACTCGGCAATCAAATTTTCGTTTTCTACGAAATACCGTTTTGTTGAAAATTCAATTCGAGATTCTCTCGAATACCATCTAGTATATATGTGTAGTTTTTATTTTTTATTTTATTCTCAAAAAATGATAAAGAAATATAGTTAATTCATTTTGAATGTCAAAATAAGTAACAAATGACAGACTAAAAATTGAATAAAATAGTAAAGAAAAAAATAATCTGATTAATCCGTTGGTAGATTTTTTTCTGAGCAAAAATGACTATGAATCGATTAGAACGATGTATAATATGATCTAGGATCGGTTGAAAAACATTATATGGTGTAGGCAACTTTTGAGTGCGCCCATCATGAGGAAGAAAACTCCAGTGTCTGTCTGTGTATTAATATGACAACCAAGAAAGACTATGTGTTGCAAGCGTTCTGCGCAGTAACAGAAAAATATTTAGTTGGTAAAAAGCGAAGAGTGTCTAGGAGGCATTGCACGTAAGCCACGACCAACGTTGCGCAATCGAT